TATTGCTTATTGGCAGTCCCACAATGCCTTCTCTTAAACTTATGCTAGGATAATTCTTTTTAAAATATTTATATATGTATGTGCAAAGCTCATACATTTGTATTTCAAATTCTAGCCTCTCAAAACAAAGAGCAGCAGCCCATAAACTCTTTGGGAAGTACAAACAGAGCAAAATTTGTAGTTCCTGTAAAGCAGCAGTCCCAGTCCATCCATGTCTATGTAGAAGTAAATCCAGCTGTGTTCAAAGGGCCTTAGCCCAGGTATGTACACAAACAATCGCATCACATACGATTGAGAGCACGCCAGATTAAGCCAATAGGTCTCACTTAAATGCACATGGGATCATGTCATTAGCCACCTAGAGGGGATTTTTAATTGCCATAGGTAACCAGCCTCTTTAATTCAGCACCAAGTGATGCTCCCCAAATGTGCAAATATTAGCCAGGGCAAGCTTGTTAGTTCAGACCTGATTCCTTATAGAAAGGATGGTTTCTTACTGGAGCAGCCACTGAGAAAGAACACAATTCTTTCCAGGTGGAAAGAAATGGCAACAGCCCACCAAGACCAAATCCTGCATCCACAAAAGAGTTCTGTAACCTGCCCAAGTTAAGCAAAGGTCTTGAATTTGCATAATGTATTCTAATTCCACTTGTCAAGAGAAGGTGAGAGGAGGAGTTACTGAAAGGCAAATGAAGGAATTTGACCGGTGGAATTTGTATGCAGCCCCCACACCTACCAAAAACTTTTCAGACACCGTGAAGACTTCAGAGGTGAACTTTACAGCCACTAAGATCCAGAACATGCCTTTCAAATAGAAGCCGAATTTTGCAAGAAAACCACAGAACTGATTGCAGAATGAGCACAAACAACCACCCTTCCCAAGCTGTCATTTTGATTTCTTGATACATTAACTCCGCCAGTCCAATCTGGAGCCCCCCAGATGTGTTGGCCTGCAACCCCCACCAGACCTGCCGGAAGGCATCATGTTGGAAATGGCTGAGTTAACAGCTTGAAAACATAAAAAGAAGGGATAGGCTTTGACTGGGTTCAGACAACCAGATAACCCCCATTCAAAGGTTGAATATGGGCTGTCCTCCACTGTTAAATAAATCAAGTTTGATCTTGATCGAGGATTACTGTGTTGTCTGAATCCGGTCACTATTTGGCCTCTGTGTATTGCCTATGCATGTTAGCAGAGACAAGCCGAATCCACCCTGTACTAGAGTGTCTCCAACCACCACAGAGAGGGAAACAGAGTCTGAAGGCGCATGATGTGGCCAAACAGGTCGGGTTCGCGCCCAGAGGGGTGATCACTGGAGAACCTGACCCATGCTATCCTGAATCCCAAAATGAAGAAAAGTGGAACATAAATGTCCCAAACAAATACATTTAAAAATAAACACCACCAATTAAAGAAAAAGTCAGCCTTGTGGGGAAAGTTTATAAAAAAAAAGGGGGGGGGAGTGCTCACTGAAAGCTTCCAAATGCCACGGCAGCCTGCTTAAGAGAATGGTGACACCTCCCTGTATTTAGCAACCTGAGTGGTCACCATGGGTGACAAGCTACTCCTTCGAAGTGAGTAAGTGGGCTGGAAGAGGAGGAACAGGTCTCTTCAAGCCTTTGCTCGGCACGAGGATATTTTTTTAAACAGCTCGCTAAGGCAACTTGGTGGCACGTAGCAACGACAGAAGAGTTTCTATGCTGGCTGGTAAAAGGACAAAACAAAACACAACCAAAAATGGCAGGCTAGTAACTTTTGTGGGCACCTAGACTAGGCTGTGAGCGTACATCCGGGTTAAGCAGTCGCGCATGCTCGAGGCCTACCCGCAGAGCAGCACGCTGCCACATCCACAGCCCGCCTGACCTCTTCTTCGCCCACCTGGTGCCTTTTCAGGTATGGCTCAAAGGGAATTGAGAGAGCCTGTGCCACAGTGACTCGGAAGACTGGCAGGTGATGAGGAGAGATACGGGCGCTAGCAGAGCCGGCCACTGGCCCTGGGACACCACAGGCAGGTCCACCCACACTGCTGACCTGCCCACAGTTCCTGGGCCCCCGTTTCCACGGCTCAGCCAATGTCTGGGGCCTCCCCACAGGAGAGTAGGAGACCAATGTTTCTAGTGGACCCTGTGGGAGGCCCACATGCTTTCCTGCCGCTGATGTCTGGGTGCCCAGCATTCTCTGCCCACCGTTAAATGCTGAAGAGTGAAAATCACAGCGACGGTCCAAGAGAAGGGTCTGCTAACTGTCTGGGGCGGGGGGAGGTGAGTTTCATGGAGGCAGAGCTACAGACCCCATCAGCAGGGGGCACTGATTCCCCAAACCGTTTCAATGCCAATGAAATGCAAAGGCCCCGCAAGCAGGCCGGAGCAGGCTGCAAATGTGGCACGACATCATTCTGCTTTGTAATGATCAGATTTTTCCATAAGAGCATCAAACTCGGCTCAGGAAAGAAAATCATACTTCTCCCTTTCTGATTAGAATTTCCAAGCTCCTAAGGAGAAACAACACAAAAGCATGTGCGTGTACACACATACACGCACACAAAACAACAACAACAACTCTGCCACATCCTTAACAAGTACATATCAAGCCTACGCAGAGGCCCTTGACCTAATAAAGAACAATAACACACCCAAGACTGGATGATTCCAGAACCAACATTTCAAAACAAAGCACATTAAAACCCTTCCTGATGCTTTTAATACCTGGCATAATACACCAATAATTAAAGAAAATAACATAAAGGAAGCACGCACACACTCTTTCATTCTTTTAAACCAAAATAACAGGTGCAAAGTTGAGGCCAGTCAATCATCAACCATTTTATTACAATCTTACGCCTTATGAAATAAATACCACAGTAATGATCTCAAACATGTTGGATCATCCAGCATAGGCTGGTTTGGGGCACGAAGAAGTCCTGTTACTAGTTTTTAAAGTGTGTGTGTGTGTGTGTGTGTGTGTGTGTGTGTGAGAGAGAGAGAGAGAGAGAGAGAGAGAGAGAGAGAGAGAGAGAGAGAGACAGAAAGAAAGAAAGAAAGAAAGAAAGAAAGGTGGTAGTAGTTTTAACTAGGGTACAATGTAACTGAGCTCACATACTACAGGTTAGTTTCTTCTTAATGCTTGTCAACTTGCCTTCTGTACTCACAGGAGAGGTTAGAGAGAGGTAACATCCAGGTATCATGTTAGCAACAGTGAGCAAGGGCACAAACTATGTCTGTGAGTCTGGATTCAGAGAAGCACTCACACCAAACAGTAGGGTGGAAATTCTGCGTTGCACGGCACAAATCTGACCTCGGAAGGCTGGTGTGGGCCAGAAGACTGGGCCCTTGCCAAACTCGCCTGCACGTTCCAGGAAGTGCATGTGAGAGGTGATCCCAATCATATAACCAATTTCCAAAAAGTCACAAACACGGATCAGGGTGACACCGGGAGGTGATTTCTCAAGGCCTGAACGATTTCGCCAATGCTGAGCCAGGGGCCAGGCCACGCATTCTCCATGCCCCCGCGACGACCCTAAAGCAGGACTGGGCTGTGGGAACCCCAAAAAGGCAGCAACCCTTCCCAGTCCGGGCTCTGTTGTGACTTGCACAGCCTGCAGAAGCCCCCTTGCCCCGGCATAGGCCATTATCCACTCTATAAGCAAAAGTAGGGAGGGGGAGCTGGAGATCGCATGGGACACGCCACCCCCATAAATCTCACATGGAAAGGACGGGAAACAATCCGGCCAAGGTGTGAGAAGAGGCTCATTAAGTGTCATGAGTGACCTCCTCGTCTGTCACCAGCTTGTCCCACATAAATTAAAATTCCTCTCCATGTAGACACCATGCCGGGAACCTGACAGGCAACCTTTACGGCCAGGATGGGGAAAGCCTACAGGAAGAGGGCGAAAAGAATGGAAGGGGGCAGGATGAAAAACAATATTGAGAAGGGAGAAAAACACACAGAGCAAAAGAAAAAACAAAAGGCAAATGCACAATCATAATAAAATCCACGTAATAAACTTCCTCTTTTCATTTTTTGTATGCTCCCCACACGCTGTGGGGCCTGACACGCCACCTCATCAGCAACATCATGAACAGATCCTCGGAAATCTGTTAAGAGGGAGACCCTCTTAAACGAGCAAAATCTCCTCTTTGTAGCCTTCCCCAAAAGCTGGGGGAGAAGGGAGGGGGGAGGGGGGGAGGAGGAGGAGGAGGAGGAAGGGAGCAACTTCCGTAAAACAAGCAAAAGAAAAGCGAAACAGTCTTTGTACCTTTGCACCTGACAGCGTCCCCCCCACCCCCAGAAAAACCAGCAGCAGCCCTGGCTGACCTCGTTGCCGTCTCCTTCGGAAGATCTTTTTAAAGCCTTTCCGAAGTTAACATACTTCACGACTTAGCAACAACCCCGCTTTCGACTCATCTGAGTGACAAGCCCCTTCACTCTCACCAAACTCCCCCCCCCCGTCCGCACTGCAATGCACGTTTGCAACTTTTTCCTCACTTGGAGACACGCACACCAAAAAAAGTTTCCTTAAATACGGGGGGGGGGGGGATCCATCGCTCGCTCTTTTCTTTTTAAAGGGAAGAGAAAACAGAACGGAACAAAACAAAACAAAAAACAAACAAAACGCACACCCAACAATCGCGAAGTCAGTGCGAAACATGAAACCAATCAGCTGTGCTTGGTAGTTTTATTAAACTAAAAGGGAAACTATTTATAGACAACCGAGCCCCATCGGTCGGTCCACGGCGGAGAGGCGCTCGCAGGAAAAAGAAAGGTGGAGGGGGAGAGAGAGAGAGAGACAGAGAGAGAGAGAGAGAGAGAGAGAGAGAAACGCACACGCTGATGACGGAAAAGGAAAACAGAGCAAAATGCAGAAGAGAAAGGGTCAAGGGTTGGCTTCCCCCACGCCCTTGACTTTTCCCTTTTCTTTTCTCTTTTTATGACAAGTAGAAGCAAGAAAGACAGACAGAAAAAGCCCAGACCAGGAAAAGCGCAATTGTGCTGTACTTACCATAGTCGGAGAGACGAAAGCCGAATTCACTTAAATAATCAACTTTCATAATACTTAATTAATACCTAATTGCAACTGATTGCTCCCCGAATAACAAGTTGGTTCAAAATACTGATGTCATTGCGCCGACGGTCCACCCTGGGAATCCACTCGGGCACCGGCGCGTTCAGCGGCGGGAGGAGGAAGGGGGAGCGGCCGGCTGTCAGGAGTGAAGGTGATTGGCAGGCGCGCCCCGGCCGTGGCCCCGCCCCCTGCCCGGGCAGGCCTCCCCTAGTGGCTGGGAGGCAGGTGAAGGCGAGCCGGGAGCCCTCTGCCAGCGCGCGCGGCGCACAGCCTCGCCGCCGCCGAGCAGGGCGGACGCGGCGCGGGAGCGGCGCTGCCCGGGAGAAGGCGCCGCAACTCTCGCGCCCGGCCCCGGCCCCGGCCGCTCTCCCGGGCTGCCCGGGCAGGTCTTCCCCAGCGCGGGGCAGGAGACAGAGGCGGGAAAGCCGGGCAGCGAGCCCGGCATGAACCGCGCGCAGCAAGCGCAGCGCAGCGCCGCGCAGCGCAGCCCTGGAAGTGGGGAAGGCAGAAGCGGCCGCTCAGGCTGCCCACCTTGACCCGGCATCCCGAACATCTGGATTTTGGAAGGGGCTCCATCTGGATATATGGATTGATTGGCTTATTTAGTAAATGTGTGCGCACCCCTGCATTTCAGCCCCCCCCCAAAACCGAGTGCCTGGGGCAGCTGATGATAAAATGCAGATTAACAACGAAGTCTGAATTAAAACCCAGCATAAAAGCAAATAAATGAAAGACACAATTAAAAGTGCAACCATAAAAGGAATAAAGAGCGCCAGCCAATTAAAACCACCTTCAACAACAGACCAGGGCTTAAATAAAAACTTTCAGTTAAGCTTGCCACGCCACAGCAGCGACTGGCCCCGAGATAAATGCGGGCCCATTACTTGTCCACAGCACATGCGAGTCCCTCACTGTTTGCTCACAGTTTCAGCAACGGGGGCCTGGGGGGTTGCATTAGTAACTCAAAAGTTAACCGCTGGAAAAACGGGACGTGTACGCAGTGCCCACCCGCTCCAAGATTCACTTTGATTACAACTGCCAACTGGAATCTGATTGAAATAGGTTGTAGACAACTTAGTGACAGAGACAAAAACCCTTCTGTCTTGCCATATGTGCTGATTTACTGCCTGATGATGATAATTTAGAGGCAGCTAAGGTTGTGCGCATTTCTTTCGTAAGGTTTCTACAAAAGAGCACTCAGATAGCAATTGCTTTTTAAAAAGCAGCAAACAGTAGCATAAAAGTGCTGAAGAGCAGCATAATTAATGCCTACTGCAATGTTCGATCATAATTCTTTAATTGTTGTTAACCGCCCAGAGAACTGCGACTGTTGGGCAGTATAGAAATGGAGGAAAGGAAAGGAAAGGAAAGGAAAGGAAAGGAAAGGAAAGGAAAGGAACTTCTTCGGAAGCTGTGTGCTCTCCTCTCCTGGGCAAACACCATCTCTGCTAACGAGACTGCCTATTATAACCACTTTGCAAGTTAGTCCTCCATATTTTCACTAGCTTGACTACCCACCCCTCAGAGCAACCTCAACGTAAATGCTTTTTGAAGTCTGTCCTGCTGGTCACCTGGGGGAAGAAGAGTTTCTCACTCATCGTGGGTGAACGGCTGAGGGGCCATTTGAAACACTGCATGTGGGAAAAGGCCTTTCAGATTACACTCTTTGGGTTCAGTTTCTTCTCCCAGTTCTAATAACCAGGACTTCAATTCCTTCCAGATTTCTCAAACAGATCCCCATAGAAGCGTCTGTTTTCAGACATATTTAATGGTCTCACAACCTTTCTCTTCCATTTTACCATTTACATCTGCAACAAATCCACAATCCATATGTATATTTTCTCAGTTTCCATAGCATTAAAACATATTTCGTTTGCCACTGGAATTGCTTATTAAAAGTATTGCCCATAGGTATCTCCTTAAGCAGGGCCAGAGTCAAAGGCAGGCACGGTCAAGCGCCTGCCGGGGGCCCACACCTGAGACGGGCCAACGGACAAGAGCCCCCAGAGCTGCTCCTCCGCTTTTCCACGGCAGCCGGCTTGTCCCTTGCCTCTTGCTCTGTTGGGGGTGGGGGCAGGAGATGCCATGGCCGAGTACCCACTGGTTCTCAAGCTAACAAGTGGTAGCAGTGACCCGGGGGGGGGGGGGGGAAAAGGGGGGGGGGGGAGGGGGGGGGGGGGGGGGGTAAAAGCAGCTGATGACAATGGCGGTGAGAAGGTAGCTTTCCCATGGAGAGCATCATACCTAAAGAACTTCAGAAATCTCAACCTGGAATTAGTCTTACGCACATGAAGAACAAACAGACCTGCTGGATCTGAGCTGCCCAGAAGTCACTGGGCAGCCAGATGTGTCCAGGAACCGATAACCAGGGCATGAGCAAAAAGGTTCCCACCCTCTCAGGTCGCCTAACAACTGGTACTGAAGGACTTGCCAACTCTGATCCCGGAGGTAAAATACAGCTGTCTTGACTAGAAGACCATTCCTCCTTTACATTCATGACATGAACCCCATGCCTTCAAATCCCAGCAGCAGTCAGGTTGCACAGTCCAGAAACTTGACTTCACCTGAGATTTTGAAACCAGGTATGCCCAGATCCAGCCAAAACTAAAGGTGGCAACTCCTGAAGAGTTTGCCTCCATATTCACATCAGTGTAAACAAGAATGGAATTAAACCCTGACGTGCAGGTGAAGCGAGCAAACACCAGTAATGGATCTTTAATATTTCGTTTATTAAGGGATCACTCAACAGAGATTTTCTTTAAAAACAAGAAGTACAAGTCATGTTTGTGAGGTGGTTTTGCTCTAAAAGCAGACAAGTGTTTTTTTAGCCCCCACTTTTTTGGGAGAGAAAGGAGAGGGAGGGAGCCTTTCTGCTTTTATCATTAGCTTCACTGTTTTATCCAAGAACACAAAAAAATTCAACTGGCTGGGTGACAAATGATGCCAAAGCTATTGCCCCATTTTAGATCTGGTCAAACACCCGGCTTCGCATGCAGCTGGCAGCTGCACCCCTGTCCACTGTGGTTTTCACTGGGTGAGCTTTCTCAAGAAACTTCAACTGTTCCCGCACCAAGCAAAAGGACACGAGCCCTGCTTTGCCAGGTTTCCACCCGATTTTCCCAGAAAGACAAAAATCCAGGGCGGTTATGCTCAAGAGCTAGCGATGCAATGTTGCAGGAAAGCCAGGCCTCCTGTGTGGGATCAGGCCACAATACCATTCAATCCAGGCACGCAGGCCCAAAAGTCAGTACGGGGCCAAACTGCCTCCCGGGGGCCCTCCGAGAACCAGGTGCGATCCGTAGGCACGGCCACAGCTGCGGGGCACACTTCTCCCACCTTTGCCTTTCTCGGCATTGGGTTTTGGGCAGCGCATGTTGTGCCCGTGAAGCTGCATGTGCCTCGCAGAAGGGCTTGCCAGCAGCAAGGAGAGCGGCTGAGTCCTGCACTGCCTGCATCCTGCTGTTATGTCCCGTTCTGGATTAGAAGGAGCACTGGGGAGAGAGCAGCAGCGGCTCCTCCACGGGTCTCAGGCTAAACACTGCCGAACTAGTCCGGCATCATGTCGCCTGCAACGGCCAGCCAGGTGCGCTCGGAAAGCCGACAAACTGGGTATATTCATTTATGTACTGTGCTACATTCATGCCTTTCTCGTCAAGGAGCCGTATGTAATTCTCTTCCCCCATTTCCTCCACACAACAGCCCTGTGGTGCAGGTGAGGCTAAGAGTCAGGTTGCCCCCAAAATCACCCAGCGGCACAGGTATGCCTGAACCTGTGGCACTAGGACCCCCCCCAGGCTATGTCACAGCGGCTCAGGCAGGTAGGAGCCCTTCCCTGCTGTTCTTTTCCGAGGACATGATAAGAACAGGCCTACTCTTAGCGCTGGTGGCTAATCCCCACCACTGACACAGGGACCAACCCTGGGCCATTCATCTACGCTCTCTTAAAAGCCCCCCATGTGGCAGAAAGCCGCAACGTCTTGTGGCAAGGAATTCCAGAGGCTGGGCCCCCAATGGGCACAAAGTCAATCAATTTTGTCTGTTATGTCAAGCCTACTTTACCATTCTTCAGTGAACCATCTTCAGCATCCTCATTAGGATGTCATTATCATTAGGAATGAGTTGCCTAGCTTTTAAAAAGTTTCATGATAGCTTACAGCAGAAGTTAAAATAATAAAAAAACCCTTAAAAACACTTAGAAATGTCAGGATCCAGTAAGGGTACAATCCTATGCATGTTTAGGCAGGAAAAGCCCTCCAGTTCCCAGCATGTCCCAGCCAATCACAGTACTGTACCTTAAAACGAAGCCCCCTCAGATGCCTGGGAGCAGAGGACAATCTTAACTTGGTACCAGAAAGAGGACACTGTTGGAACCAGATGGTCTGAACTGGAAAGATGTGGGGAGGTGATCTCCAGGGAAGGCCCTCTTCTTTACTCACTATTGCTAAACACTACTACTACAATTCTACTTCTCCTTCTTATTCTTCAATTTCACAGCCCCAAAGATTGGCACCTTGGCTCTTCTTGGGGCCATGCTAGAGACTCCAGGATGAGGGGCACACGGTACAGAGCCAATCTGCTTTGCACAGGGATGTCTGCCCAAGAGGCTGCAGCAGTGGAATCCACAGCAGCAAGTACACGGGCAGAGACACACTGGAAGAAAAACCAAGCTGCGACTGAGGAGAACCTTGCGAAGTATGTTGCATCCATTTGAGGAAAGCAAGGTGGGAAGTTCCTAGAGGTACCACCTATCTGTCTTCCGCACCCAGTTAGTGGACGGAGTTTTAGAGTATAAGGAACGCTGAGTGTGCAGGACCTTTCCTCTGATGGTTGTGGACATGCCTGGTGCACAAGGAAAGGGATGGCTGCTAGAACCTGAACGGAAACAGTTCACTGCAACATTTTGCTGCAGGTCCTGTTTGTGGTATATTAATATTGATCACATAGACAACAGTCAACTGAAAAATCTTTCAGAAATACAGCTGCGTATTACTCACAATTGTAGCCCACAAATGGAGGAGCTGGCAATGAGCATAGCATACAATGTGCTGAGAATCTCAACTTCCTTTCCTTCTTAAAAGTTTCTAGTCCTTAAGGTCACAAGACTGTGGATCTGTGCT